TTATTTTTTTTTTTTTTTAAGATTTTATTTATTTATTTGACAGAGAGAGACAGAGCGAGAGAGGGAACACAAGCAGGGGGAGTGGAGAGGGAGAAGCAGGCTTCCTGCTGAGCAGGGAGCCCGATGCAGGGCTCATCCCAGGACTCTGGGATCATGACCTGAGCTGAAGGCAGACACTTAACGACTGAGCCACCCAGGCGCCCCCAGATGGATACTTTAAATACAACAATTGAACATCAAGGAACTCATCATAAATAAGTTCAAAATTTGTTTCGCTAAGGCAAACAGTCTCACTCAAAATGGCCAAAGAACAACAAAAACAAACAACAACAAAACAAAGCCAGAAAGCCTAAATGTCCAGTAATAGGAGACCAATTAAATAAAATGCCATAAAATTATTACCTAGATTATAATGCACCATTAACGAATGATATAGAGGAATATTTAACAACATGAGGAAATATTTATTATATAATGAGGAAAAAGAATACATAACAGCAAACAGAGGACAAAATCAAAATGAAAAATACAGTTACAACAAAACATCTGGAATGATATATATCAAAGGGTGATTGGTTATCTTTGGATGGTGGTATTAAAGATAATTTATATTTTGTTCCGGTCTATATTTTGCAAATATTCCACAATAAACTTAGAAGGCTTTTTTGCAAGCAGAAAAAATATGTATTCATTTTTAAATGTTAAATTTTAAAATAGTTGAAATAGGTTCATCTCTAATCCTAGTTGTCAAATCATATCACTTTAACTTGAACTATGTATGTACACAAGGTACAATTTTAATGGTTTGATTTTAAGTAATAAAGAAGACTAACAGAAAAAAAAAAGGTAAACACACTTAAAATGTATCAAATTTTACAATCTAAAATATTTAAGTCTTTCAGTTACATGTAAACTAGAATCATTCCATATTAGTGAAATTACCTAATGTGTACAAAACTTTCAAAGGTCCTCCCAGTTTTCATACTAATACATTAAAACTTTAATGTCAAGACAAAAAAGTCTAAATATTGCTCTTTCTCTAAACTTACAGCACTTCTTATTTGTACTCACAATTAGGCACATACTATAGACATGCAAAATATTGAAGCAGCTTTGGTAACAGAAGTCAGAAGGCCCAAGATGAGAATACTATCTCCTACTCTTTCAACTCTTGGACCTGGGCAAACTAATTTCTCTCTCTGAACTTCAGTAAGACAGAGTAATATTTATTGTAAAGTGTTTGTGAAGACTAAATCAAAAAACACATGCTAAGTGCTAAGCGTAGTGCCCAAAGAACAGAAGGTACTTAATAAATGGTAGTTGTTACTAGAAGCACATGCAGTAGCTTTTAAGTCACTGAACTTGTCAAGCCGTTTAAAAACTATATGACAAGTTACTTAACCTGTACAGACCTCAGTTTCCTCATCTGCAAAAAACAAAAAACAAACGAAAAAACCTCATCTCGCTGGTTTGTTCTAAGGATTAAGTAAAACTATATAGAAAAATCATTTTGCATGTAACAGGTGCTCAGTAAAGTGTAGTCAGTATCACTATTAGTTAGCTACATCAAGAAGCATTTAAGTATAGAGAATATAAAATATTTTTACATATAAACTCCCATGTAATTTTAACAATTAATCATCATTTAAATATATTTCCCTGGGATGCCTAGGTGGCTCAGGTCATGATCCCAGGGTCCTAGGATAGAGTCCCCCATCGGGCTCCTTGCTCAGCAGGAAGTCTGCTTCTCCCTCTGCCTGCCGCTCCCCCTGCTTGTGCTCTCTCTCTGACAAATAAACAAATAAAACCTTTTTAAAAAAATGTATTTCTCGGGGCGCCTGGGTCAGCTCAGGTCATGATCCCAGGGTCCAGGGATGGAGCTCTGCATCAGGCTCCCTGCTCAGCAGGAAGCCTACTTCTCCCTCTCCCATTCCCCCTGCTTGTGTTCCCTCTTTCGCTGTGTCTCTGTCAAATAAATAAATAAAATAAAATAAAAAAAGTATTTCTCTTAATTCCCAAATTGAGTATAAATTTCAGAAAAATGTAAAATATGGCAAACTTTTTAAGCACACTGCAAAACAAAAGGCCACTTTATTAGCTTCAAAATAAAAATGTGCTATGGATAACTAGATCTGCTTTAATATTTTTAAGGTCCAAATAAATCTAAAAGGATGAGAAGGAAAAAATGTTTTTTTCTGCCTTTGGGAGAAGGAAAAAAAATTCTCGTCCTTAGGAAGATAGATATCTGAATTGTTCCATTTTTTTCAGGACTTCACATGTTTTTACACAACTAAAATTTAAGTGCCTTTAATATGAGAACTCTTTCCAGTCTCTGAATTCCTGAATCTACCTTTGTGCAGAAGCAGAACAGCACTTTTAAGACTATGGAATGTGAAGCGAGACTGCCTAGGTTCAAATCCTGACTTCATCTAGCTGTGTAACCTGAGGCAAGTTTTAATCTCTCCATGCCCAGTTCCTCATTTGGAAAACAGAAATTCTTCAAACAATTGTGAGGATTAAATGAGTTAATACACTTAAAGTGTTCATAAAAGGGCTACCATATGGAAGGCACATTATAAGTGTTTCCCATGGTTATTATTGCTTTCTTATTCACCCCTAAAAATGCCTAGATCTGTGACTCTTGAAATCAATAAATACTTGCTACCCAGGAGACAATTCCAACAAATGGCTTTACTTAAAATTAGTACTTAGGAAGTACCTAACATGACTGTCACAGCAGTAAAGATACAGCAACTGCCATTAAAGAGGATTTTAGGGCAAAAGCAAGGAAAGTCAATTCCCTTTCTTACACTTCTTATTATATAAAGCTGTAACATCCTTACTTGCTAATAGAAGTTCAGTACCAAAAGAGTTTTACAATTAGGCATGGCACACACTAATCCAGCACACACAAAATTCTCAAACTCAAACTCCATAATACTCAATTATATTCCTTCAAAGAAAAAAGTTCCAATTACTCTTCTATTTTAATATCTTAGTACTTTAAAATAAAAACTATTCTGCATAAAACAGCAGAATACCATAAGGATTAAATAAAACATCATAAATAAAAGTGTTTGAGAGTTAAATATTCATTAAATACTAATTTATGAACATATACGAGAGAATTACAATAGATTTCTCCAAACTCAAACAACTGCCTGCCAACCAAAACTAGTACTCTGTCCACTTCAAATCTTGGGTCAGATAATAAGACGTAAGTCAGAGTAAAGTTACCATCCCACTAAATCATTTCCTGCTTGAAACGCACTCTTCCCTTTTTATTCATAACTGAGATGGGACTTCTAATATCCAAGTCCTGCCCTTAGACCGAAGTTTAAGGAGTGAAATCCTGAAAGTAGCCCAACTTAAGACCAGCAAAACTTCTGTTATTAGAAAACTTCTTTGAAGTTATTAGATCAAAGGATGCCACCCCAATTCCCTACTGTCTGTGATCCTAACCTGGGTATAGAAAAATGCTAATTGTCTCCAGATTCAAGAACTTTTTAGCCTCAAAAATCAGAAGTACCTGGGCCACATTTCAACTAAAGCTGAGGGCTAGAATGTTCACCTGGCTCACTCTCAAATGAAAAGTTGTAGTCCAACATCAATCAGGAACACAGCCATGCAGTAGCCATCAATAGGCCACACAGGCCAGATCTGACCACAAGTCACTTGGCACCCTTCACTGAAGCAAACCCTACTGAAGGCCTGACTGCCAACCCTTGACCTGGTGAATAGGACAATGGGCTAGCCGTCAAGAGAGCTATAGATTCTTCTAGTCACAGATCCATTTTGAGATTCTTGACTGATTTAACTGAAGAAATCAAATTTGAGAAAAGGTAAAGAATTTTTGAAATACAGATGAAAAATTTTGAGTATGCTTCACAGATCTAGTTACTTCATTTGTTCAGTAACATAAAAAGATATATTATTTGCAACTTGTTTTGTTCATAAAATCATTCCTGGCCTTGTGAAATGATGGGGGGTGGGGAACAACTAGCACTTTTCTTCAGGGTCTGCATAGATCTTTAAACTTCACTAAGCCAGTTTCTCTATCTCTATGTAAAACTGGAGTTACATGTTCTTCCCTCAAAGATAAACTAAAGATAAATAAACACTGTATGAAAGTACTTTCAGCATTTCAGAAGGAATTTGTTACAAAAAAAAACCACATATGGTAGTAATGCAATGGAACTTGTTTTAACACCAAATCGGGGATTCAGACCAAACCAGTGTTGGAAGTCAAATCCATTAAAGTCAGACTTTTCTGTCTATATTTGAGTTCCCGGGTTGGGAAATTGGTCTGTATTTATATAAATCCATGTTCTGAGCCATAATATAATGGAACTCTTCTGTAATGTCCCAGCCCACTCGCTATCTTTTTCAGAACTACCAGCCGGAAAAGACAACCCTCTGCAAATTCTACAAATCCTCCCCACTGGCAAGGATTCTGATGGATCCCACAACTTTTCAGCCTTGCGTGACTTTTACCACTCCTCTGGAGCTAATCACTTCTAATGACCCCAGTCAAGAACAATCACTCCTCTGCTCAGCTTTACACTTTGTCTCGGTCGATCCCTCCCCCAATCTCGACAGCTCCGACGACCTTAGACATCTTCACCAGTTTGCCAGACGTCGGGACCTCAAAAGCTCGGGTTCCTGCCCCACCTCCCTGAGCCAGCCGCTCCCCAAGCTCTTTTCAACCCCCAAATCCCGGGCACAGCATCACGGGGCTCCCGGTTGTCCGACGCGCTCCGGATCCGCGGCACACCTCACCCCTTCCCCCCGGGCCCCGCTCTCCGGACCCTAACCCCTCCTTGAGACGGGGGGTAGGGAGAGCAAAGCTGTCCGCGGCTGGACTGAGACTCGGGAGGCCAGGCGTCCCCCTACCAGGCCCCGCCTGGGCCTCTCGGCTCGACTGCCCTCCACAGCCCCCCTGGCCCAGCCGTGCTTATGCCGAAGAGTAGGGCAGCACGAGCCCAGGGCCCAGCACTTACTCGGGAAGATAAGTGGAGGAGAAGGAGCTCCACTTGTGTAGCGCATAGGGGAGAAGCCGGCACTCGGGCGCCGCAGCGACAGCCCCGCCAGCCGCCATCTTGTCAGCACCGAAGCGGCCGCCACCGACCGCCGGCCGCGCCGGGAGGAGGGGAGGGGCGTGGCCTGCTCTTAAAGGGGCCGCGGCCCACTGGGCCGTGCGCTCTCCCCTTCTGGGGTCTTGCTGGTTTTGTGCACCGCTGAGGCGCGCGCGGATACTGAGTTCTCTTCTAGAGTTTCCGTCGCCTAATGCTCCTTAATAGACCGACCGAAACTGGGACTGGACTGTGAGCACCTGAGGGCTGTCCTGGGAGGCTCGGAGGGGAGTGGCGCAAAGGACTTTTCTTACAAGCTGAGGTAAGCCAAGAATGTTATGAAAAGAAATAAACTGTAGTTAGGAGCCAGGAAGGGAAATTGAGAAGACGGACTTGGGAGAAGGGACGTCTTTGCGACTTTGGAAACCGCTGCCCTCACCGAAAGGGAGCTGGCGTGGAAGAGCTACCGTCCTTTCCCTTTGCCGCGGTCCTGGTTTTAAATGTCTTGCCCCGCGTTCCCGAGTCACATGGAGACAGGAAAAGGAAATGCTCCTGTGTCCTCTCACCCTGTTCTGTTTGCAGTTTGTGAGATGCCCTTCCTTGTAAACATTTATTGCGAGTCCTCTCACACCAGTCCGTGCACTAGGCTTGCTCAGTCATGATATTCACCCACAGACCAGAAAAAAGCCTTAAGGGGTTGGGGAACCCGCGTGTCATCGTTTTTTCCAGTTGTTATATCTGTCCGCTTTTAGCTCGGGCAGAAATGTCGCCCAAAAGTTCAGACAGAACAGAGTTGTAAGAAAAAGACCAGAGAGGGAATAACAACCCTCGTGCTCTGAATGCCATATGGGCATCACACCGGCTTCTTACCAAAAAAGGAACATTCGCTCCAAATATCTGGCAGCTTTAGATAATGCTCCCATCAGGTACCCGTTTATCAGGGTTATGCATGCTTAGTTCTTGGTTTAGCCGCTGCAATTACCCAAGTATTCCTCACTTACTAGAAAAGGTTCTACCGGGAAAAGCCGTGACAGTGTCTTCATCTCCTGCCCCATGGAAAAACTCATGCAAAGAGTTTCTCAGTGAATGACCAAGTGAGTTGAAACACCTCAGTAGTAGTCTCTTCCCGTTATAATCATTAACTGTCCTGACCTCTTACCATAGAGGAAAACTTAGTAGTGGCCTTCGCTAGCACATCAGATCAAGAATGCCAAAAAGGGGGCGCCTGGCTGGCTCAGTCAGTAGAGCATTCTACTCTTGATCTTGGGGTTGCGAGTTCCAGCCCCACATTGGGTATAGAGATTACTTTAAAAAAAAAAAACAACTTTGAAAAAAAAGAATGCCCCAAAGAAGGCCACAATATGTTAACTTCTAAAATCAGATGCACTTTGGGTGTTGCAGCATGTTGGAAAAATATTTATTCCTTGAGGGAATGCTATATGACCCCAGTGACTTGAGTTGGGAGTCTAGAGACAGGGGGAGAGGCCAGAGAAGGTTAGTCCCAAAGATGCTTAGTGGTTAACTTTGGGGAAAAGAGATACTTTTAAGGGGAAAGGATTAAGACGGTGACTCAGTTCAATTAATTAGGGGCCCCAAATTTGCTAACTATACCTCTTACCCTAATGTAAGTAGAGTCTTTGTTCTTTTCCAGACATAGAGTTATGGTTTCTGAGTGACCCTTTTATTTTTTTTTAAGATTTTATTTATTTATTTATTTGAGAGGGTGGGGATGAGGGGCAGAGGGAGAGGGAGAAAGAGAATCTCAAGCAGACTCCATGCCAAGTGCATAGCCAGTCACGGGGCTCAATCTCATGACCCGGAGATCATGACCTGAGCCAAAATCAAGAGTTGAATGCTCAATCAACTGAGCCAGCCAGGCACCCCCTGAGTGATCCTCTTAAAAAACAGATATAAGTCAGTTCTTCCTGAGATGACTTTCAGTGACTTTCTATTCCATTTAAGTAATATGGAGCTCCTTTAGCAGAGGCCTTTCATACCCTGCCTTGATTACCTCTTCAGCCTTCTCTCTTCTTTCCCCCTTACAAGTTTTACTCCTCCCAAGCTAAACTAACACACTAAATTGGCTCCTATAAGTTCTGTGCTCTCTCTGGCCTCCAAGCTAAGCTAGTCTAAGCCAAGCCAGGAGTATTCTCTACCATTCTTCACCTGGCTAACTCCTGCTCATTTTTCAGATCACTTCATTCTGGAAAATCGTTCCTCATCACCTATTTTGAGGTTAGGTGCCATTTTCTATATTTCCCTTGGCACCCTTAGTTTCCCTCCTTATCTTAGCAAATATCACAATATATTTTAATTTCCTCTTTTTTTCCTGTTCTCTCTCCCTAAACTACAACTCCCATGCAGGTAGGAGTTATGCATATCTTTTCACAGTTGTATGCTCAGTCCTATGAGAATGTCTAGTACATAGTAGGTGCTCAATGAATATTTATTGAAGAATGAATAAATTGCACTAAAAGGGAACTCGGGTTGCAAAGGAAAGAGAATGCCAGAACTTCTCAGACAGCAAACATGTATCCCTATTAAAAAAAAAAAAAAAGATTTATTAAGAGGCTGTGATACACCAGACTTTGTCTAGGTGCTAGGAAGACAGGGATAAACAAATAAGCCAGACGAGGGCCCTGCTTTCATGGAGCTTATATTCTGATAGAGTAACATATAATAAATAAGTCAATTAGATCATTTTAGTCTGTGCATTTAGAGTACTAAGAAAAGACTACACTGGAGTAATATTTAGATTGGATGGTAAAAGAAACTTCTCTAAGAAGGTAATAGTTAAGCTAATAACCTATACAGTAAGAAAATGCCAGGCATACAAAGGCTGAATAAAAAACATTCTAGGCAGAGAGAATAAATAAGTGCAATGGGGCCTGAGACCGGAAAGGGGTTGGTGTGTTCAAAGAATAGAAAGTGTGGCTGGAGCCTAGTGATGGGGGAGAGTGGAGTTGGGAAAGTAGGGCCCTAACAGCTGTGGTAAGGAACCATGACGTGGAACTATGAAGAAGAGACCTGTGCAGGGGCTCAAGTCAAGGAGCAGCGTGATCCATTTTAATGAGTTGGAGGGAAGGAAGAGTTGAAGTGAGAAGACTTGACAGGAGATTATTATAGTAGCCATGCAAGAAATGATGGTGGCTCGGATTAGCAGAGGAGATGGAGAATAGAGGTTGAATTAGGACATATTTTAGAAGTAAAGCCAACTAGACTTGCTGGTGAGGGAGGGAAGGCAGGCAGACAAGGAAGGAATCAAGGATAATTCCTGGGTTTGGGATTTGCATCACTGGGTCGATAGTGATGCTTTTATTGGGAGGGGAAGATTTAGGGTTAGAACAGTTTCAAGGTAGAAGGAATCAAGAATTCTGAATTCAGACATTCAAATGACCAAGAGACACATGAAAAGATGCTCAGCACCACTAATCATCAGGGAAATGCAAATCAAAACCATAATGAGCTATCCCCGAACACCAGTCAGTATGACTAGTATCAAAAAGACAAGAAATAGCATGTGTTCGCAAGGATGTGTAGAAAAGGAAACCCTTGTGCATGGTTGGTGGGAATGTAAATTGGTACAACCACTGTAGGAAACAGTATGGATGTTCCTCAGAAAATTAAAAATAGAAATATCATATAATCCAGTAATTCCACTACTGGGTATATGTCCAAGGAAAATGAAAACACTAATTTGAAGAGATACATGAGGTGCCTGGCTGGCTCAGTCGGTAGAGCTTGTGACTCTAGAGCTCAGGGTCATGAGTTCAACCCCACGTTGGGTGTAGAGCTTACTTAAAAAAAAAATGAAAAGATATATGCACCCCTGTGTTTATTGCAGCATTATTTACATAGCCAAGAAATGGAAGCAGCCCAAGTGTCCACTGATACATGAAGGAAAGAAGATGTGGAATATACATATATAAAAGAGTGAAATCTTGCCATTTGCAACAACATGGATGGACCTAGAGGGTATTATGCTAAGTGAAATAAGTCAGAGAAAGACAAATACCGTATGATTTCACTTATATGTGAAATCTAAAAAACAAAACAAATGAACAAACAAGCTAACAACAGAAAAACCCAAACACTTTTTTTTTTTTAAAGATTTTATTTATTTGACAGAGACACAGTGAGAGAGGGAACACAAGCAGGGGGAGTGGGAGAGGGAGAAGCAGGCTTCCCGCTGAGCAGGGAGCCCGATGCGGGGCTCGATCCCAGGGCCCTGGGATCATGACCTGAGCCGAAGGCAGACGCTTAACGACTGAGCCACCCAGGTACCCCCCCCCGCCAAACACTTTTAAATAAACAAACTGGTGACCAGAGGGGAGGTTGGTGAGGGGATGGGTGAAATGGGTGAAGAGGGTTCTTTTCTTACAAAAGAAAAAAAAAAAAGAATTCTGACATCAGTGTACTGTATAGGGGATGCCTAGTAGACATCGAAGTAGAATTGCCAAGAATGTAATATGGAGAATCTATATTGGTCAGAGTCTTACATCTAGTCACCTTATAGGCATTTGGCCTTCTTTTTATCTAACCATCTAGTGGTTGCTTATTTTGTCTCAGGCACTGATTGCTGAGTCAACAAATTTTTCTCTGAATAGCAGAGTCACTAGCTCCAGGTATAGCAGCTCTAGATAGAAGAAACCATTGGTGTCAGCCTTTTGAAGATGATATAGGGGTACAAGAATAGCCTATGGAAAGAAGCCTGGAGTATGTGTTGAAAATCTTAGTTTTGTTCCTAGGTCTGGTACTTTTCTAGCGAGACCTTGGGAAAGTCACATAACTTCTCTGAGTCTTGTTTTCCACCCTATAGAGTGAATTGAATCAAATCTATCCTGTCTACTACACAAGGGGGTTTTGAAGATCAGGTGAAGGAAGAGAACAATTATCGAGTGCCTAGCTTATTTACTATGAATGACGTAAGTTCTCACTTAATTCTCAGAGAAACTCTGAGATATAAATATTATTATTCCCCTTTCACAAATGAGAAAAATAAGACTCAGAAATGTTAAATACTTGTTGTCTTTGGTTTGCTTCTTCACATGT